TACCTGAGTCTTTTGCCTTTCCTAGTCTCGGGGTCCCATGAAGAGAGCCCAGGGAGGTGAAAGCCTCAAAGTTCATTTTCCTGCTGGACCCGGTGTCCTCCGTAGGTCCTGACTATACCGTCTTCTTTGGGAACTTGGAGCCTCCTAGGGTATTCTTCATGGACACCCAGTCCACCGGGGACCTAACTGTCCAGGAGAATGGCACGTCTAGTATTCTGCCAATATCTTCCCATGCTCTCTTGTCAGAGTGCAGTGAAATGGTTGGTTTTGTGTTGTCCTGTACATGACAGCATGATGGATGTTCCCGTTGTGTCTCCGTTCTGCACTCCTTGACCTGGTGTGCTGCTGTTGGGAGAAGAGCCTGTTCATGGGACAGGGCCCAGGGAGCACGAGGACTACCGCAAAGCCAGGTAGTATGCAGGGAGTGTCCCCGACTTGCTTGGCAGGAGGTAGCGGCACCAACCTGGGTCAGTTTGCGGACTACCTTCCATGTTTTCTGGAGGCGAGTTCTGAGAGTTTTCCCTAGAGACCACGTGGTTCATGACTGCAGCCTGCAAACAGCTCCCTGAGGACTCAGGTAGGTGAGGAATAGAGTAAGCAGGTGTGGAGGTGGAGAGGTGGGCTAACTAGAGAGTGTTGTTGCCAGTGGGGAAGGTACAAGGAAGACGGGGAGGGCTTAGGGGGACACTTTCTCTTGTCTTCTTGTGCATCAAAGCTGCTGCAGATTTTGTTGTTGTTCCTTTCTTTGCTGTGTGGTGGTGGTGATGGTGGCGGCAGTGTCATTTGGTCTTCAGCTTCTGTCTGTTTTCGTTGTGTCATGTCTGAGCGTGTTGTGTTTGGGTCCTCCTGCTTTGAGTCCATGTAGGGCACTGTCGGAATGCATTCCAGGACCCATCATTGTAATTTTTCTTTCTTTTAAGAGGGTGTGTTGAGAAATCTGCCAGGTTGTGATGGAACTGTTAGTGGTCCGTGCTCTGATTCCCAGGTGCCTGGAGTGTTGGCCATGTGCATCTTCCTACCAGTGGTTATGTTGCTCAGCATTGCCCAGGGTGGCAATGTAGGGTTGGCATGTCATGGCCTGGCATGGCATAGCCTAGCAGGCTTCTCCTGTGCTTGGGCAGGGGATGGGCTGTCCAGGGGCGCTAGCCACTCGTACCTCTGCAATCCATGGAAGCACAGCAGGGTCTCCTTGTCGACTCTGGTGAGGTACGGTTAGTTCGCAGGCAAGAAAAGCCACAGTCCCTCGTCGTTCAGGAGTGTCCGGCGTGTGCTTGCTGTGCACAGCGAGCCCGAGTCGCGCAAATGTTTGCAGCCTCTTTGGGCACACTTGGTTACCATGTGTTACCAGAGCAACTTTTCACTGAAGAGAAACAGGGAGTACCAGAAATGAGAATGGATATTTGGCTTTTCATCTGCTGAAAGCAGAAGTCTTTTGTGAGGGCTGATAAATATGTACTTTCTTCTGTTTTTCTGCTTCATAAGGCCTGCCCTCAATTGTCATCATTTGTCGTCTGTTAACAATACGAGCTATCCTCCACTAAGTGTGACTGTACATTTTTTCCATTCTGTTCTTATTGCATCATCAGAATTACAGGAATCCCACATTAAAGTCATTTGCTAGGTGCCACCTAGACTATGGAGCAGCTGAGACAGCTTCATTCCTGGTGTAGCAGGTAGCAGCTGTGCTCCACATGCTACAGGAGCCTCCTAAGATGCATCATACCTTTCAGAGCCACCCTCTATCACACAGGCCTGCCCCTCACACAAATTCTTGTCCACCTCTCCTGGAATACTGTCTCTAGGTATTTACACCATGAAGAAGTAATGCTGGGTGGTTTCAGAGGAAATGTCCTTAATGACTTTTCCTGAGAGTAGACTAGGATCAATTCATTTAGGGCACATGTAGTTCTAGATTCACAATGACGGGAGGCTTCATATGGTGGTGTTTAAAGAACATGCATAAGTACCTCTGAATCTGACTGTCCTATTCAAATGGACACACTGAGGGACACTCATACCTAGCTTTTCATCAAGATGTATGCTAAATATGGCAAAGTGTCTTGTGTCCCATTTAAAACAATAACTCTGGCTGCTTCTCCCACAACTTCGCCATGAACTTTTTGTCATGCTCCGCGAATCATAAGGTGGTACTATGACTTTCATCAGGGAACACACTCTTTGTAGTTGGTCAATATCATGCAACCTGAGCCTATTTCAACTATAATGAAACATCATTTCAAAATATATCCCTGGCCAGAGTTTACCTGTCTCTTTGCTCCACTCACCCAGTGCACCATCCTCTTTTACCTGAAGACAAGCGCCTTCTTGGGGATTACATGTTGCATTGTATTTTCGAAAATTCCACCAGAGCATCATCTCAGAACAGAACTCACACTCAGCATTTCCACACTCAGTTTCATGGCAGTAGGCAATGACCCTGCATGTCCAGGGTCATGTGCATCCCTGTCCTCAAATGCTCAACTGTTTCTTGCCTCAGCACAGCTAAACAGTTTCCCTCTTCTGGAACATTTTGCGCACAGACATCTGCATCTCTCAAATATTTTCAGCTGCAAGGAATCTTCCATGGCATTGTCTACTACAATCTACTCTGCCCTTTCGGTATTCCTATGCCTTTTTCCTGGGTAGTTCCTTCAAAGCCTGAGTCAGTGCCTGCTGCCATGTGCTTTCTAGGAGTCAGCTGGCCAACAGCGGTCATTGTGCCAAGCATCCTGTTTAAATTGTGTCCAGGTCACAGCCAGTAGATTGAATGGATAGATAACTATGTATGCAATATTATCTACAAACACAGGGGAATTATGAAGGTACACACAAAAGGCCAGGGAAAAGCAGGAGATTTTAACATTACGTATTGTTACATGGAATTGTGCATGTTACACGTTGTGCAGTGAATAGTGAAATAAGCAGAACATACATGGGAAAATATTACATATTGTTCCTGTGGTTCATGAGCTTAGGGACTGAATCTGGAAGTCCAGAGGTACCCGGTGTAAAATTTTGCTGACTATACTCTCCCTAAGAGACAAAAATAAATATCCCCAAGGAAAGCCATTTCTTTTCCTTCATATTTGGATACTGTAGTGATGGCCAGCTCTTCTGACTGTGCACTGTTTCTTTCTTTGCTGCCACATTTGATTTCTAGGTGCCAGGGCACTTATACTGGACCAGCAGCTCAGTGCCTTGCTCAGTGACCTCTCTCTCAGGTGTGATAGGAGATCTGCCCTTGTTGTTGAAAGGCTACCAGATTCCACTGCTTTTCATGCTAGGTACAGTTCACCTATCTGGGTTTTAGGCAGCAAAGGGAAGTAAATACTAGCTGATGCTCCCCATCAGATCTGCCTCCAGCCATTCATGTAATCCTAGAAACCTCCATGCTTTGACTCTGCCGATTCTTTCACTCCTCCTGGGAACTGCTTCTTACCTGGCTCTCTCCCACAAAGTCTGTGCTCTCCTAGCTCCAAGTCTTTACATTGCTGTTGTGTCCTCGAAAGTCTTCACCACACCCAAGAACCTAGAATTCCATGTCCAATTCCTAACCTGCATCGGACTGGACTGTTCATAGAACACAGTGACCACTACCTTTTATTAACAACAAATCAAATCTGGATATCGACCATATAGTTGAACTGCACTATGTACACCACATCTAGGTTAGCTCACACTCTATACTCAGCACAATCACTGTGGAGAGACTTCCTCATCAGCTGCCAAGCTACCATGCATCTGCCTCACCCAGGTTTGTCTAGAAATTTAGAACTCTTTACCTGAGCATGATATCACGCAACAATAATAATTACTTCATATCCTCTGTGCTCTCTAAAGAAGAAACAGGCCCTCATAAAAGCTGATTGGAGCACCCAGCAGAGAATCAAGGTCCTCCTGCCCACAGAGCTTCCCCTCAGTTCTGAAGCTCAGCAGCAAGTGCCAATATCTTTGAGACCACGAATAGGATAAAAGGCCCTTGAGGGTCAAGGTAAGTTATGCTGGCATTGTGTAACTATTGAAAAAACAAAAAAGAAAAGTTGCATCCTAGGAAACGTTTCATGTGTATCTGCAGCATGACCTCATAAGGCAATGCACTGATCTGACTGGGTAATGAAGTCCGTTTCCTGACTCGGAACATAGGAGAGGCTTAGTATGTATCGGATACCGTGTGAACGCAAGTGTCCCAAAGTCTCTGGGATCCTCGAAAGTTATCCCTGAATCTGAATTTTGTCTATCCTGGCATTTGTGTTTTGAAAAGACAAAATGTGGCGATCATATGTATCTATTTATCCTGATTGTTCATGCTATTGAACAAGCATAGTGTGAAGAGAAAAAGAAAGGTGTGATGAGAATCACAGAGGGAAGCAGAATTACAAGAAAAGGTGTGAATACCTTCTCTGGAACCCAAACACCTGGTCTCACCACATCCGGGTAGCCTGCAATTTGTCCTAACCTTGTACATGTTCATAGCTCACGCTTGCTTTGTTGATCTGGGTATTTGAAAAAGAAAAGAAAGGCTTGTGGGGGAGGGTGGATAACCAACACAGTAACATTACTCCATTTTCAGTCTGCCCAGTATACTCTTTCAGTCTGCCCAGTGTACTAACTTCATGCTCTGTGGTCATTCATCATCTATACCTGAGCATAGATTTGTTCAGTCATGGCAGAGACCCGGTCAGGTTGCATGTAGTTTATCCATCTCTGTATGCCTCTGCTCCCACTCAACCTCTGATCCTGAAGTGGGCTTCTATGTACATATAAAGACGATGTTGCCCAAGTCCACAGCCTGCTAAGTAGTGCCAAGGAAGCAGAAAGACAGGGAAGAGAGGTATCACTGCCCAGGAGTGTTTTGTCTTGGATATCTCTTTGTCCTGGGCATTGTGGGACTCTTAAGAGGCCAACGCATTGACACGGGGCAGCTGAGATCATCATTCAACACTCCAAGCCCATCTTGAGGGATGCTGGATATAGCAGTTGTTGGCCGGCTTGTTGACAGAGAAAAGTCTGAGTAGTTGGGATAAGGGGTCTTGTTCATCACAATATTCTTTAAAACTTGGTGAAGTGATGAGCAGCATCTTTCAGTGAAGGAGCCTTGGCAATTCTTTTGATCTGAGGGGGAGCAGCAGGGATTAGGAAAGGAGTGTGCATGTTCCTGGATGTAGAGAGCCATTGCAAGTCGTGAGAATAAAGGCAGGATCTGGCAGTTTGATAGCCAGGTGAATTATACCAGGACAGAACATCCTTCTGTGTGAAGGGCCCAAAGGTCTCCTGCAGAGGTGGCCATCATCTTGGGGCTTCCTGGCCTATTCGTATGCATGAGTCTTTTTATTTTCTCATTGGCTGTGCATCTTCCCTTCAACCTCTGTTCTCCTGGGTTCTAAAATGGAGATGGATAGAAGTGTGAGGTGACTATCAGAAATAATTCTCCCTGATTCTACAGAAATTGAGCAGGGATAAATCAGGCGAAAGGCATGGGGGACCCTGAGTGCAGCCAGACTGCTGCTTCTATTCCATGCCTGGATCACAGAGCAGGTGGCCAGGCACACACAGAGCAGAGGAGCCATAAGCCCAGGATGGGAGTGGGACCAGCAGCAGGCGTAAGAAATCCTCCATTCACAGTACATCTCGGGAGCTGTGGCCTCTTCCTGAGGACCCAGCAGTTAATGGGCAGCATGTGTACTCCGTGGGTAGCCATGTCCAGGGTGAGCAGATGGACTTCCTGCTAAGTGGCGTAGTGTATGCTAGCTAAGGAAAATGGGGCTTTATTTGGAGGGGGAGGTTTTGAAGGGGCCCTCAGTCTGAGGATATCAGTTTACATGGATGGGAAATATTTGCATTCATTTGGTTTTGTGTTTTGCCAGAGCAAGACTTTGATTCTCTCAGACTGAATAAACTTAGGGTGTTCAAGTGAAGATTTGTGATTCTGAGGTTAAATGTATGTGGTTTACCTCAGGATGTAAGCATTGGGGGCTTGAAAGCTGAGGAATCTTGAGGTACTAGGGCATGAAGAGATTTTGTAAGGGACTCTGGAACTGAGGGGTCAGTCTCTAGCAGACAGAGTCCAGATCTTGCAGTTGGGACATATGGCCTCTCTGTGCTAACTATTTAAGATCCTAGACCGGAGGAAGATTGGATTCATAGGCTCCAGTGATTGGGGTCTAGGGCGAATGGATTTGGTGCTCCTCTGGGTGAAGTCCTGGAAGCTGACAGCTTTGAAGTCTCAGGCTGGGAGAATCTGATTCCCTCCAGGTGAGCAGAGTCCTTCCAGGATGCAGCGTTTTAGGGTAATCTTGGAGATGAGTTAACCAGGAGCTTTGCAGAAGCTGGGGACCTGGGGTCTCCCAGGCTAAAACTGAAAGATCTCATTGAAAGCTCAGCAGGGTTTCACAAACATCCTGGGGCTATCAGTGTCTGGCTTCTTAGAGCTCCTCTCAGGAAGAGGTACCTCTGGACTCGGGGTAGGTGACAGCTCTTGTCCTGCTCTCACAAACTGCCAGTCAGTGCCTAGACCACAGCCGTCCTATCACCTGGCACTCCAGAACTCAGCTCAGTAGGCCAGCTGGGCCTGGACAGAGAGCAGAGGCAGACATGTCAGTCCTGAGCACTGGGCAGAACTGTGCTGTGCTGGACTAGCCAGTTCCTGCCCTTTCTGGCCCTCCGAATATCTTCTCACCCTGTGGGGCTGGCTGCCCTGAGTCAGTCAGCCCTGCAGTGTGCGGGTGTGGTTTTTTATTGCTTTCTACCTCAGGCTCCCCATGCTCCTCCTTTCCCATGTTCTCAGCCCAGAAAGAGTGGACAAAGTCTTCTAATCCAGTGGAGGAGGATTTTAGGCCTCGGGATCAGTGTGGTGTGCGCTTTCTCTGGAGATGCGCTGAGGACCAGACGCTAGGAGTTAGGGGATGGGGAGTTCGGGAAAAACTGAAGGTGGGGACCAAGGGTAGGTTAGGGCTTGCAGTTGAGGAGGCTGGAGGTTAGGGGTATTGGGCAGGGGGCAAAGCTGAGGACTAGGAGGTGATCATGGGATGGAGTCTGTGGTAAGTCTGAGGGACTGAGGGTAGGCGGGGCTCAGGGACAATTAGGGAGATGTGTATCCCAAGAGATCCAGGGTTGTGGAAAGTGACCTTGGGAGTTGGGAAGGAAACAAGGTCCCAAGGTGGAAGTCCTGGCATAATACACATGGTTGGGAGTTTGGGGGGAATACAGAACTAGAACCAGGAGTTGGGATAATTGACTTTGCCCATTATGGGGATCCCAGAGCAGGAGTCCTGGTGCCGCAGCGTTCACAGGCAGGGACAGGAATCAGCATCCAGAGTCAGAACAGAGAAGGTCTGTGAGATGCAAGAACCCTCTTATCGTGGGCAGTCTTCTGGGTGCCTGGTTGCTCCCCAAAGTGCTTGGGGCCCTCCGAATTTGGCCTCTTGGCTTGTCCTTTGTGACCTTCATCACTGTGCGTGAAACCTCTCTGAGAAGATGGGTGTTTCCAAGTTGGAGAGGCTGTAGTTGGACCTGTGAGGTGAAGCCCTGGCCCAGGTCATCCAATCAATAGCAGCCCATTGACGCCCCCACCTCTGGATCCCCAGGGCTCCCCACTAATCTTACACCCTGGTGTTTCAAATTCAATTCTCAAGGGATGTTCAGTGGAAACTTCGAATAAGCTAAGGAAATCTGGGCCAGGAGCCTCAAAATGTGTCTTAGTCCAAACGGTGGGATAACACACCAGACCCTGATGAGCAGAGTGGGGACTTTGACTGACAAGTGCACAGACTATCTTCCCAAAGGGTCCTACTTCCCAGGGAGGGGATCAGGTGGACTATTCCTGGGGCCCAGGAAGGGTGGATGACCTGACTAAAGCTTCTAAGGAACTCAGTGCAGTGGGAAAGAGCTCACAGCATGAAGATTCCCCTTGCTGCTGACTGGGAAACAGGATGTGTCACAGAATCCATCCTTGTAATGTGCCAAATGTATTGATATGGGTAGTGGAAACAGGTCTGTCTGGCCTGCCCCACAGGCTCTTTGACTGAGATGGGGACTCTCAACCCCTCTTCCAGCGCTTCCTAAATAAAGGAGGAAGAGTGCTGGACTGCTTGCAGAAATTAAATGAGAAGGATGCAAGGAATTTGCATCTGCCCTGGTCAGAGCCTCCATGTTCAGAAAACCAATAAGTCAGCAGCCTATTAGCTCATGATTTCCCAAAGAGTGAACAGCATCTCTGTCTTGCAGAACATTAAGTTCCCTTGAGAGGATGGTACTGTGCAACAGGGCAGCATGTGTCCAGGGATCCAGGAATTTAGGGGTATCAGTGTTACCACGGTTGGCTGAGATTTTAGGTATACGGGCTGGCTATTCCCTGACAACATGTGTGTGTGTGTGTGTGTGTGTGTGTGTGTGTGTGAAACTAGAGAAAATGAATTTGTTAAAAAAAAATCTGTATATGTTCTTTTCATTACTTTTTTCTTGTCTAAATGTGACCAAGCTTAATAAAAAACAGTTTTATTGCCAAATACCCATCCATGATTTCACCCCTTTCCAAATAATGTCTGCTGTCCGAGGTATCATTGATACAGTATTTTTTCAAATGTGCTGCAGAACTATCTTTTTCTTTCAGCTTTAATTGAGTTTATTGGTACATTTTAGGGATACACTACAGTTACATTCATTGTTGGGATCTTGCACCTCTACATGACAAGTGCTGGTTCTCATTTTTTCCCCTTACCCCTGCCCTCCCTTTACCTCCTCATCCCCTCCCCATCTACAAACACTTTATTTCCATGTTTTCATTATCTCACATTTTTTCTTTTCCCTAAAAATGTGCACAAATTAGGTAACAGTAAATCAAACTAAGGAATATTTAAAGAACAAAACAATTTAAGATCTTCCAATATTTTTATTCAGGTGGATATGACCCAGTACATCAATGTTATAGGTCATATGTTGTTTTGTGTCCTTTGTCTTATTTTCTCATTTTGTTATGTTTTACATTTTATTTTC